TCGTTATGAATGCGGCCCGGGAGGGATTGCCTCCGGGGCCGTACGTGAGCATGAGTTAAGGCGAGTTTCAGCGGAGCCAAACACAGCGCTCATCGCGCGGCTGTGATTGGTGGATTCGTGCTGAAAACGAGACGGGAGGGTGACACACACCTGCTTGTGATGTGGCTCATGCTGCCTGTCTTCTCTTATGTCTGCCATTCACCGGCGGGGTGAAGAGAAGAGTGTGTGTGCGTTCGCCGGCCACGAGGGGGTGGAACGGGCCACGGAACGTGGAACGGTGGGAGAAGACGTTTTGTGTGTGACTGTCTAGCAAGGACCAGAGGCCGGCTAGTTTCAGAACTAGCGGACCTAGCCTTAACCATACACATTTCTCCTGCTTCCAAACCATGATGCAGGACGCATACCAGGCCTAAAAAAGCGCAGAGATTCAACTGTGTTTAGCAAGGACCAGAGGCCGGCTAGTTGCAGAGCTAGCGGACATAGCCTTAGCCATACACGTCTCTCCTGCTTCCAAGCCATGATGCAGGACGCACACCCGGCCTAAACAGCGCAGAGATTCAAACTCGAGCTGGCCTCTGTGCTGTGGTCCTGTCGCGTTTTTTTAAGTTGACGGCCTGGGGAGTGATGTTGTTAGTTGCAGCACCCGACTGTGCCGTGCGATGACAGGACCGGTCGGCCCAGCTGCCAAGCTGCTGGTCTACCGCTTGTGAGAGGAAAAAAGGTCGCCATCCAGCAGACCGTTCCGCCTCAGTGACGAAGACCATGGAGGATGAAGATTCCAGTACTGGGACAGGCAAGAGCCAAAGACGGTCACCCCCTCCACTTTGTCACGTCCGCGTGGAACGAGACCGGAGCTTTCAGCTTGGAGTAAGCAACTCCTAGCATTGTAGCTAGCATCTCCATGCTAGGGGCAAAAAACCTGTCTTGGCTAGACAGTCTGGGAGCACCGACCACAGAATGCCTTAAGCCAGCTAGCTAACACCTCCGTGTTGCGAGCGAGCCAATAGCAGCCAACACATCATGTGTTACAACCCAGCTAGCAGTATTCTGCAACTGCCCTGGTCCATGGCTAGAAGCTACACCAAGCGGCAGCACCCTGACTCCAGCTTCTCGACTGAAAAGCGGGGTGCAGTTCTGCGCAAGAGGCTGAGACTAGCGCACTGCTTAGCTTAGCAAGGTGGCTAACCGGCTTAGCTAGTTTGCCGCCGTGATCTCCGGCGGGAAACCGCTAGCCTGGGCCTTTGTCCCCGGAGAAGATAGCCAAACCATGCCGAGATGAGAAGCGCATGGTCCGAAATTTCTGGGAAAAAGCTTCCAGTCCAGTCCTGGCTGGAAACGTCGATGTCTAAAAGCCTTAACTACTAGTTACCACATCCGTGTAACGAGTGAGTTAGAAGCGGCTATGATAAACGGGGACTCCGTGGAGGCACGAGGATGTCCGGCGCCTTAGCTTAGCGTAATACCGCACCGCGGGTACACCCGCGGGAAAATATATGCTAACTAAACCACGATCAACCGTCTTCCGAGGAAGGAGACCGGAGTGAAAAACGGGTTGTGCCGGGGAAAAACAGATCCCCGAGCAGCCCGGAAGGACGGCTAAGCGGATCATAGCTCGGTGGCGCCGGACATGAATTCCATGTCAATATAAAAGAATCATAGCACTTACATGTATGGGCATCTTCTATGGTTACATGTTGAATGCCGAAGCTGAAGAAAAAATGGGAGCTGAACTCAGGTCCATCCTCCCCTTTTATACGGACCGAGGTGAGACCCACGACACGTGGGCGTGGACTATTGGTCTTCAGAATGCGCGAGCGCGCGCGGGGGTACCCATCTGCGATAGTGTTAGAGGGCGGAGCTTACACGAAATAGAATAGCCATCCATCCATCCATTATCTATACCCGTTTATTCCTTTTCTAGGGTCACGTAGGTCACTGGTGCACATATTCAGCAGTCACAGTGCGAGGGGCGGGATACACCCTGGACAGGTCACAAGTCCATCACAGGGACACATAGAGACAAATGAGACAGACAACCATTCACTCTCACCTAGGGACAATTTAGAGTTATCAATTAACCTAACAGACATGTTTTTGGTCTGTGGGAGGAAGCCATAGTGCCTGGAGAGAACCCACGCATGCACGGAGAGAACATGCAAACTCTACCCAGAAAGGTRCCTGGGCCAGGATTTTATCAGGRGACCTTCTTGCTGAGAGGCATCAGCTCTACCAACTGAGCCACCGTGCCAACCACAGCTAGATTAGTGCATACTGATTTTAACATAAAAAAGCTCTGACCCATGTGTACGCTCATTTTGGAGACGTGAAACTGTGACACAGATGGTGAAGTGAAGAATTAGAGCCACACTGTGTAATGATCACTGTCAGATATTTA